GTCTAAGAGCAGTAAAGACAATTTGTTTTTGTTTTTAAGGCATTTGTACATCTTTAAATATTTGAGACTATCCCATTTGCTAAATGGAAAGAAAAAAAAATGTTTAAATTATATTGCAAATCCATGATTTTAATTAGATTTGTTGCTGTTCTCAAAATGTAGAAAACAGACATAAGACATCAACTTTATAGTGATTCTTTATGCAGATGTAGACTGATGCAAATGTTCACACTGAAGCTGAGTAAAAAGCAAAAGATCTAATAAAATGTGCAGTAGACCTTATGACTCTCAGGGTAATTAGAAGTGAATTCACGTGCTATTTAACTCGGCTACCTAACAAATTGAGTTCTGAATGCATTCAGAGATTCCCTCATTTTCAATTCTAGATACCTTTTGCAAATTTTGTTCTGGTTAAAAGGATCATGAAATATTTTATATGTGTGTATGCATGTGTGTACATACACATTACTTTGCTGTGTACCATAATCTGAACATCGCATGCCCTTTTTATAATTTAAGTACACTTCAGTAAAAGAGATGTGTCTGCAGTCTTCATGCTTTAAAAGGGTAGTGACCCTGAGGAATAGATTTTCAGGTTGTGCCTTTAGAATATTTTCAGGTTGGTTTTGGTTCAAGTATTATTGAAGTTTAAAGACACTATTACTTATTCAGGTATAATGGTCTCTTTGATTTAAAAATATCTTAACCCCTTCTTTGGCCTGCAAGTCCAAAGGAAAAAAATGTGTCTGTTCTTGCTGCTATATCCGACATGGAGTTGAGCAGCCCAGAGCAAAAGCAAATTATTTTCTGTGTTCTAAACTTGAGCAGAAGGTTGATCTGAGTCTGAGAGTAAATTAGTCATCAATTTACGGTAGATTGGCAAGGATTTTTAAACCCCAAATGTACAGCTGCAAGAAAATTACTTCCCACTAGCTCTAAATATCCTGATGAAGTAAACACAGCTTGAGCTAACTAAGAGTGTAGGGATGTAGGGCTGTGAATTCTCTAGGTCCTCTGTACACTCCTTGACTCGGAATTCTTGAATTTTAATTGTGTGCCTGCATTCATCCCTCATGCTAAGTCAAAAAGTAAGGGACATTTTTGTGGTTGAAAGTTACACTTAATATTTGGTGGGATGTAATTTTTGAGACATTTGAAAACCATGAAAGATGGGGGAATGGCACAAACTTAGTGGTACAATATGCACATAGATGTGACCAGGATTATTTCATTGACTTTTAAGAATTTAGGGTGATTTATTATCAACTTTTGCAAAATACTATACAAAATTGTTATATCTCTTTTAGAACTTATGCTATAGTTTTAATGTGTTTCCCACTCCAAATATTAGAAAAGAAGAGGCAGCTAAAATGAGGTTCATGGCTATAGTTTTCCATCATGTAATTCTACCATTTAATATGGTTACGTTATAAGGGCAATATGTTGAGCCAAAACCAGGTGATTCATAGGATGGCGAAGTGTGATGTATGAGACTTATTTATGGCTGTATATTCCTTGCATTTAACCATAGCATACTTTTTTCTTGACAAAAGCAATTTCCTCCCTTGCCTGCATGATATTTCTCCAATTTCATTTCCCATCTCCAAGTGAGACTATATTAAACTGTTTCCCCCTGATGTCAATCTCTTCTGAGGACAACCTTAAGGTACAATCTGTTACTCTTCTCTATCATTACTTTGGAAGCAGTCAGGTAAGGGATGTGATCACAAAGATTCTGGTTGGGTGGTTTCAGGCAGCTAGAACCATATCTGCATCCCTCTAGTCAACCTTTTCAGCAAGCATTTGGCTAAGGGCATGTGCGTTGTCCAAAAAAACAAAAACGACAGTGTGGTTAGCAGGATTCAAGCATAATTTGGAGACTTTATGTTATTTTTAAAATACAAGTCAGAGCAGGGATTCCTGCTTTGTCTTGAATTGTGCAATAGTGCTGGAACATGAGCTGCAGTCTTATTTACTCAACTCTTGATTGAGCTGGACACACCTTTGTGTATGAAACGTGAAAAAATATAGCATTTTTGAGTGGTTTTGCTAATAAGGCTACATAGTACATACCAGGTACTCCTCGACTTACAACAGTTAGTTTAATGACTGTTCAAAGTAGCCAATGTGGCAAGAAAAGTCATACAATGGAGCAAAACTCTGAAATGGGGCAAAACTTAATAATTTTCTCACTTAGCAACATAAATTTTGGGCTCAGTTGTGGTTGTAAGTCGAGGTTACTTGTAGTAACTAGGATTCTAATTAGACTTGGATACTTTTAAAATGTAAAAAATGTAGCATTGGATAACCCAAATGTGCTTTTTCAAGAGGTAACTGTCAGCTCATAAAACATTTTGTATACATGTTTTATAGTTGACAACAGAAAGAAGGGGGGGAGTTTCAAAGAACAGGCAGCAGTGTGGAATCGAAAATACATTCCATTCATATTTTCTTCAAAGACTGATTAGATGGCTGAAGCTTCTGCCGCGAAAAAATCTAATTGGAGAGCATGACTGATGACTCTTGGCTATAGACATTTTTCTACACCCAGAGGGGTGGGGGGAAAAGCAGGATCAAGGGTGACAGTGAATTACGTATCTCAGAGTTGGCTACGGCCAGGTTAGTGCCGGACATAGAATGGTAGCTTCAAATAAATCCTCTTTAGTTTTGGGAGTGTGATTCAAGGGTCATGATTTAATTGGAGTAACTGCCGGAACCCTGACAGTAACTGGATTTTCTCGTTTTTCTTTGAAGAAACCATTTCGCTTCTCGTCCAAGAAGCTTCTTCAGCTCTCATTGGATAGTGGGGAATGGAAGGAAAGGAATGGAAGAAGCTTCTTGGATGAGAAGCGAAACGTCTTCAAAGAAAAACCAGAAAGCCCAGTTACCTCTTGAAAAAAGCACATTTGGGACAGCCATGACCTGGATGACTGAGAATCTCCATAGACATGTATCATTGGATACCTGGATTACTGCAAACGTGCTAGGACATTCTACTCTCTATAGTCTTTCCCAATTTTGTGAAGGAAGTGGAAAGAAATCCTAGGTGCCTCTCCCCAAAACTGCAGTTATCAACTTTATCTTTTTTTTGTAACCCCTTTTTAATAACAACAACACTGAATCAAACTTGCGCTATGACCAAGAGAGGTGTAAGGGGAGGTGTCTACAAAGCAGCCAAAAGAGAAAAGACAGGTTCTGAAGTCAGATCATCCGCTTCTTCCTTTGGTGCTGTGATAGTTGAATGTTTCTTTCCCATCAACTCAGGATATATTGAAGATGGAAGGCAGCAAAGCAAGATGATTAAATCCTTCTCTTGGCCCATCACAAGGGATATCTGCAAAAAATAAGAACAATCCAATTCAACAGTGACTCTAAGCAGAGGCTATGTCTTCCGTTTTTCATCTTATTTACACTAACAGCAGTATGATATCATGGACAACAGGCATTTCCAGAGAGTCTCACTAATGCATCCCCCATCCTTTCAATACCCATTCCATTTTTTCCTGGAGAACTTTAGCCTTTAATTTTTTTTAGAAAGAATCTAAAGGATGAAAGGTCCTCTTGAGGAAGAGGAGTAGGCTCTTGTCAGTCTCCAGAAATCCTCATTGAGGTTCTTCTAAGCAGTGACAGAAATCTTGCCGAAATAAAGCAATCTGCTTGCACCATTATAAACATATACTCCAAGGACATATACTCCAAGGGAGGAACTTACTTTCTCCCACAAAACTCTGCTGTCTTTTGCTTCTTTGGAATGCACTCCCTCCTGAGAATCCAGGCTACATTTCATCACATCTCCAGATCCACCTTGAAATTCTTCCTAGGCAACTTCTGTGGCAGCCACCCTTTAAGGCATCCTTACCTACTTGCCCACTATCCTCTTTTCCTTAAGGAAACGGAGACTATGCCCTCTTGCTTCCAGATAGATAGATAGATAGATAGATAGATAGATAGATAGATAGATAGA